AAATCTTTTGCTTCTTGTCCCATTCTACAGAAATAGTAAACACAGATTAGAACCTAAACTACCTTTATCTTTTACAAATTTTTTGGACTCAGAGTTAGGAGTCTGGGAATACCTCTGGGGACACCTGCCTTCCTCATGCTGTCAGAATAAACTGTATCTAAACCGCACTACACAAGCAGGTCTCCACCATCAAGTTCTACAATGAAGAGAATAGAAACCCCTGTGGTAACCCTTTAACTCTCTAGTACCTGGCTTTTTTAGGTAGCTCGTATGTATCTTAAATAATTCCTAGAATAAGAGGTACTCTTTGATTTATGTAATACAGTCACTTATTTTTCTCAATATGCCCTAATAGTTGTAAATACTTTTTTTCTATACTGAAGTCTCTTGCTTATTTATTGTGTATCAGTAATTACGAATGGCACCCTTTTCATGGTAGTCTGTATTGAACAATATAACAAAATGCAAAACATCTGCATAATGACAGTACTTCTTTAAAGCAACAGTAAATGTAGTAAGATTTAAATAGTAGTATTTAAAGGATCATTTTCTTTTCCTTATAATGAATTCTGAAATGCATTTCAAGCTCATGAACACACTCATGATTGACAAACGGTCACTGTCTTCATATAAACCCTTAGCATCCTTAGATACTGCTTATTCTTAGTTTATATCTTTTGCTTTGGTAGCCTCATATTATACATTATACTAATTTCTATTCATGAAAAAAATATTTTTTCTTAAATGCTTATTTTATTTTATTTTATTTTATTTCTGTAATACTGTGTTGTTTTCATGGCATCTTCACTGACGTAACGCAGCCTGAACATCACAGACGCTCACTCATTCATTTACATAATCATTATGTCATTAAGAAATGTCACTGAACCCTGACTCTGAAACACATCATATTTGGTACTGTAGAGGCTATAGGCCTATGTAAACCAGGGTTTCTGCATTCACCATGTTATATTCTAGTGATGGATATAAGAGCAAACACAAATAGATGAAAGTCTTGATTCCTTTCTCTTCCCTTATCTCTACATGCAGGTCCCTCTAGCTTCATTTCTAGTCAGCATGCCAAACTCTCCGGCGAAGTCCCAACTCACACTTTGGTTCCCCAAAAGTACTATACTTATACTTTGTACATAAAAGTCCCTCAACAGTTTATATTTTTTACCTGCTTCTTAATCCTATGCCGAATTCTCTGAGTTACACAAAATACAAAGAAATATTTAGTAGCCATTGTTAATGAGACCAAACTATCCACTTGCAAAGACTTTGGGAAGACTCGGCATTCCATGGATTTTAACCCTTCAAACAAAGTAATGAATTGTTTTTAGTTTCAAAAGTTATACCTAGTCACAATGGAAATATTCAAAATAGATTCTTTAATATGCATACAAATGCACTAATAAAAAGAATAGCAAAGGAAGAATAGGAGAGTGGAAGAAGAGAAAAGGAGAGGCAGAAAGGAGGAAAAGAGAGGAAGGAAGGAAGGAAGGAAGGAAGGAAGGAAGGAAGGAAGGAAGGAAGGAAGGAAGGAAGGAAGGAAGGAAGGAAGGAAGCAACAAGAACATTAAGCTAAATTTTCTAAACTGATTAGGTTACAAAGACTATCCAAGAAAGCATTTGCTTTAAATGTGTTGTTTTTTTGTGTGCAGAATTCTACAAATGACAGGAACTCAAATGTTTACTTACTGAATTGCTACAATGCTTCACACCCTTGAGAATAGGTAATATTGAGTCTTTGCCTTTTTCTTCAAGTGCTGCTTATAAAAACTGAGAATGAGGTATAAAATTGTTTGAAACAGAAAACCTATTTTGTAACAAAGATGTAATATCTATTTCCATAAAGACCATGATTCTAGATGCATGCAAAATTTTAGAACATTACCTGAGAGACAAGAATTACAGATTCATTCCTTGACTGTTGTAATCATATACATACCTGAAGTGATCTTTAAAACAAAACATTATAAAGTTTAATTTTTAATATTTCAATCAAGGATGTTATGATGATTTAACTGCCTTATTATATTTAATTTGTTTATTAAATTAATAGCAATGGGGTTATAAATCAATGTGATAAAAGTAATACATTTCCAGCTTGTGTATGAAGAGCTCCTACTGCTTTCAAATTAGTTTTGTTAATGAAAAACAAATACCTACTTCTAAATTTTAATGGAATGACCATATGTGTTTACCGGAAGTAAACATTAAACACTATTAACATGCCATAAAAATTGACCACTACTGTGCTCATTACAATCATATTTAATGTGTCCTTGGTTATTAAAATGTCTATTTCTGGTTCTCTAGGGGTCACAGTGAATCAAACATAATAATCCAGTAAAATACATATGAAAAGCACTAGGTTCTGAATCAGGTTTAGTGAAGTTCCAAAACAATTTATTAAAGTGAAAATAAAAAGGAAATTAAATTATAAGAAGAACAAGGATTAAGTAGCTCTCTTGATAAACATGTGAGACTGAACATCAAAAATTGATTTTTATTCCTGAGCCTTGGTTGCCTCTGGTTTTATATGTTGGGCTGGGCATGAAGATTGAGTCATTAATCTCTTTAGGAGATGCCAAATGCATGCGTCTTCTACTTATCTATGCAGATCAGTAATGACACTCTTCAGTAAGTTATATGTCTGCTTCTCTAAACAAAGGTGCCATGGTAACAGACACCAGCTAAGAAGAGTACAAGCCATGAAAGTATTTGCATAAGTAATAGCATTTATTCCCAAATTGTACACTTCATATTAAAAAATCTAACAAATAAATTTCCGCCCAGCTAGTGTTAGCACAGATAGTGAGGGAAGCTATCTTAATTCATACTATACAGAAAAGTAAACAAATAAAACATGTCATTAAATACTACTACCTGCCTTGTCATTTTTACATTTTGATACAGAAAACATATAAAGTTTGGGAGTTATCAAGTAACTATAGGACAATCAAGTTCATAAACAGAAGAGAACAAGGTCTCACAACTTCTGTCCAACTCAGGGCGGCATTTTATTATCACCCTCCTAAGATAATTATCTCGTTAAAATAGAAAATTAAATTTGAGACAGTCATTGAGTTTTTTCAGACCTTGGGAGCAGAAAGAGATTAGAATTTTTCAACTGCCCCACATTTCTTGTTTTACTCCCATGCTTTTCAAACATACCAAGTAAGTTCCAACTTAGAAGGTTTTCCCCCCAAATTTTAGTTTCTGTAGGATACATCTGTCACAACCACTATTTGATGATGGAAAAAGCCACATATGCATTTTGATAAAGAAATCATACATCTGACATACACAAAAAGAATGAAAAAATTGTATGTAATCAAATATAATAACCAGAAAAGTGAAAATTTTAATATATAGTCAGTATTTCTATTTTGGATGGTTTGTGTTATAATATTTATACGAATAAGTGTTTCTCTTCTATGTTGCCAATATCTCAAAAATCCATGTTAAGTACTTTCAATGTAAATTCCTAGCCTAGAAAATATCACGGTTGTAGAAATTATCAGCTTTCATCATGATTTACTTCTACTTTTACCCTTCCATGAATATGCTCAACTTTCCTTTCAAGTAGCAGACAACGGAATTAAGATATCTCCTATTTGCCAGCAATCCAGTCAAATTCAAAAAAAAAAAAAAAAAACATTGTATCATAATCCTGCCCTAAGGTTTCCTCTCATTCAAAAAAATCCACCAGGAGGAACAGATAAAATAATGTGTAAACATAGAAACACTATGTTTTTCACATTGCTCACAATAGTATCAGTAGCAGATACAAGAGCTATACAACAACCAGAAAGTTCTAGAGCCTCAGTAAAATTCCCTTTGCTCTCAACCTTATACCACCTCCTTGTACTGAGGAGTACTCAGTACGCACAAAGTACTGCTCAGCCCCTCCCTCGACTTACTCAGGAGAGCAGACTTGCTCTCTCCTTCCCTCACAGGTGGCCTCTTACATTATCTAATCAGTGTGGGTTCAAAACCTCCTGACCTAAGGGACTGGGCATGGTTGCTACAGCCCCATCTCAGCTCTTTCATTCCCTTGGCTTTCTGAATTCCAAATACTTGTGTTTGTGTAATGCTTGATATCCCAACACTCTGCAGTCCCTTTCTTGCATGTTACTTCCTCTTTTTCCCCACTGTCTCGAGAACTTACAGATAACATGTCCTGGGCCGGGCAACTAAACACAATTCATTTCTTCTTCCTCTATATCCAAAATCTAAAGCTTCAAAAAAATCTGTAAGCCCACATAAAATGTGAGTATAGCAAACCTTTCTATTATTGGTAACGTAGTAGACACGATGCAACTTCATATCGATAACACTATTTACTCAGTTGCCTCGTTTGTACATTTTGCTAAGTGCAGATATTAACAGTCAACTAAAACCCAAGATGTCTGATAACACGCAAAGTTTTCCATAAGTTTCAACATCATTCCACTTAGCAGCTCCTTTCATATTACCATTTTACTTTACCTCTATATTTCCTACTAACGTATTAGGATGCTTCCCCATGACATTTTCTTTAATAACTCTAGTGCTTTCTTTTATTACTTGTAAAATAATTCAACAACTCAAGTACAACCCTAAGATGAGTCTGATAAGCACAGCTAACACAGAAACAGTAACAGTAAAAGTTAATGTGAAAAAAATTGATGACATTACCATGCAAAAATTAGAATGACCCTCATTCTAAATAATGTTGAAAATCGTGTAATTAAATGAAATCAAACTGCAAGCTTCTGGTAGTGAATCAATTCCAACTCACAGTAATTAATTAAATAAGCCACCTTTTTTACAACCTATTTCCACCTTTCTAATTCCTTGAGTATGCTCTACTCATTTAAAGAGCTATCTACAATATTTCCACAATGTGGATTCCCGTTCATTCTCAAGCCCTCCATAAATGGCAAACATACAAATATCACACTGTCACTTCAAGCCATACAAATGAGAAAAAAGAAAAGAACACTGCTTACCAGAGCCTCTTTTGGTCACAACCTTCAAACTCTGAGTAAAAGTAGCATATAAGAGAATCAAGTGCGGAATTGGAGCTTTCATCTTTCAGCTCTTAAAGGCTGTTCCCTAAAGTAAACATAAGAAAAGAAAAAATATACATTTTTTAAAATATATGTCAATATGATAAGATTTTTGTCAGACTTCTGATCATGCACAATTGGGGCAATGAATTCCACAAAAGGGAAGAATATGAACAGGTCTGTGTGTTGTATTTTCCCATATGCTGTGGTCCCTAACTTAAATCAAAGCCAGTAATGCCCAAGTTAGGTCTCTACGGGCCGCCAAAATGTTTTTAAAATCTTATAATCACCAAAGTTTTAACATTTACAGGGTCTTTATAGGATCTGATTGTATCAATAGGTAGAATTTATCCCTTCAAAAATACTACTTCACTATTTATTTTTTATATAAATTGCTAAACATTGACCTTTTAGTGTTCTATGCTGCAATAGAATACGGTTTTATTGAGTGTCACTCTTTCCCATTGAGAAATGATAAAGTCTCTGCCTCTAAAGGTTTAATTATAATTTTACAATTCCATTTTCCAAAAAAACCTCTAAAAGATACTTCTAGAGGATCTAAGACAAGGGCTCTATTGAAAGAAAGTCCACTGTGCATGAAAAGCTACAGGAAGATGTGTCCTTTCTTCCCATAACAAGGCTCTCTGAAAGATACTAGAAGGGACATTAGCCAAGTGTTTGGATTTCAAAAGGGGGAAACTTTCATTTGAAATTCACTGAAATGAGTATTGTCTTCCTCAGAAAATCATCCCTCTTTATTTGTTAGAAGACTGAGGAGACAGCAGAGCTAAAAGACCGAATTTCAGAAAGTAGCAAGTCAGAACACAGTTCATGTTGTCAATCCGTGACAGCACACGTTTCTTTGCAAGACAGTTGAGGACTGATCATATGCAGCTTTCCATCACTATGGCTTTATTAAAGATGAGGAAGCTGAAATGATGATTCGAAAGTCACTTTTTTTATGCTCTCTTAGAGCCTCAGATACTTCCGAATATTTTTAAATACTTAATTCATTCACATTAATAAGTCTCTTGAAACACATTTTAATTCACAAAACAAAATCCATTCACTTGCAGTCAAGTCTTACCATCATCATTTTAGTCATAAAGTTAGTGATTGTTTTTAAAATAAGCATCGAGAATAAGCTATTTTAATTCCAGCCGCTGTAAATGATACCATTTCAGTTTTCTAACCAAAGACCTTGGGTTCACCTAAAGACATAAATGAAAACTAGACCGAAAAGCCGACTCATCGGCGGCAGCTGCCACAGTCAAGTGCAAGCCTGAGTCATACATTCCTACAACCTGAATCCCATTTCCCAGCCATCGCACTAACTGGAGCTGCAGGAGATTTGTGAGTTGATGCGAATCTTCAGCCTTCCCGTCAGCAGTGAGAATGCTTCATCAATGCTGCCCAAGAAACTCCAGGATCTGACTAGCCGCTGCAAGACCTTCCAGTTTAGCTATCGGATTCACTCTTGTTTGAAACACTATTTCCTTCCTCATTTCATTTCTGTAAGGCGTACAAGCTAGTTTGTGATTCCATTTCTTGAAATAAAATTGCTTTAGAAAGCATCAATTTGGTAACATCAAGATCCTTAATTGGATCTTGTGAAACTTTGTGCATCAAGGAAAAGAAAAAAGGATTACACAGCATTTCACAGATTTAATGCCTTGGCCAACCTACAATAATCTTCACAAACCTCTTTGAGGTAATTTATTGTATTTTATATTGAAAGACAGATTAAATGTGTTTACTCATAGACATCCAAGCTTTGTTGTACTTGATGCATAATTAAAATTCTTTCCCAGAACACAATTTGAACTATATATAAACATTTACTGAGATTCCTACACATTTTCTTATTGTACATAGAAGTTCATACTTATCAATGACCTAATTTCAAAAACCTATCAGTTCTGGGTGAATGAACCTAAAATGACTTGCCTATTTTGTCTTAAGAATACCACATGGCTTCACGTAAACCGCTACTACGATATTATGCAAAATGAGCATATCACAGTGGTTACAAGCAATTAGTCTGTGTGGATTTTTAGCCCAGTTTTGCCACCCATGACCTGCATGATTTCAGGCAAATAACTAGCTCTTTCATTTGCAAAATAGTTATAGTGTAGTGCCTAGAAGAGCACCAGCACCTAGAGCAAACTAATGAAATGAAAGCTGCTGTTATTGTTTTTATTACAGGTAACTGTTATTGCCATTATCATTATTATTACTTGCAGTATCACACACTCAACTCACATCCTCCCACCTACGAATCTGTGCATATACCAGCTTTCTTTACATCCTACTCCCTGCTATAATCTTACCTGTTTAATTATATACCTTTCTATTCTACTAGACTTAAATTCCCTCCAGGATAAATGTGTATTTTATTCATCTTTTTATACCCAATGCTTCTTAAGTGTTAGCTGAAAAAAGTGAATGAATGAAAGACTGACTGTGGCTGCTATTACATGCAGTTGAATTTGGGCATTCAAACTCATCATTTGATAAACACTTATTAAGCATATACTAGTTACAAGACGCTGTGCTATGGCGCAGTGGGAACACAGAGACGATGTAATGCGCTCTGTGATATAGAAGGCTCACAGACCAATAAAGGAGACAAATGCTTACCTACTTAATTAGACTGGCCCTATTGCCATATGGTGAGTGTAATGTGCTATGGGAGGAGAGGGAGCCATCATTAATTCTGCTCCAGGTTGGGTCTGGTGAAGTCATAGGAAAAGGCCATCAGAAGAAGAAGCATTTCAGCCAGGTCATAGAGGAGAGGCTTTCTAACGGAAAAAAATTCTGGGTCTAAGACAAAGGATGAGTAAAATGGTCAGTCTGGTAGGAGGAGGAACAATGTCCACCACCAAACATACTCAGGTCTGAATTTCTGGATCCTGTGAGTGTGTTCCTTTACATGGGAAAGGAACTTGGCAGATGTGGTTTGAGTTAAGAGCTTTGAGATGGGAGTTGATGATTTGCATAAGTCCAACGTCATCACAAGCATTCTTTGAAAAGGGCAGGAATAGAGTCAGATTCAGAGAAACGAATGTAAGTATGAAAGCAAAGGTCAGCAACTGGAGCAATATACGTGGAATGTGGAGGAACAGAACATGTGCCAAGGAGTGCTTGTGGTCTCTGGAAGCTGGCAAGGCGAGGAAGCGGACGCTCCCTAGATCCTCCAGGAGAAATGCAGGCACGCCAACACCTTGATGTTAGCTAAATGAATCCAATGCATTTGGGACCTCTGACCACCAGAACTTTCAAAACACATTTTTGAGTTGTTTAAAGTCACTCAGTTTGTGGTAACTCGTTAGAGCAGCAATTGGAAACTATTACAGCAAGGGGGTGAAGGTGACATGGCCTATTTCAGAAAGGGGGTGTGAACAGATCACAGGTTGGGGGCTGTAGGGACAAAAGTTCAACAAGTCAGCAAGACATGCTGAGTAGAAAGTTCGAACTTTTCCCTATAATGTTTTTCACTCATATGCTAATTTCACCATGCAACAATATTTGATGTGTCTTCACTTTCTTTACCTCTCCTAATCACAAAAACAATATGTATCTTCCGTACATTTCTTCAGAATATGCATAACTCACCCGAGATTCTGATCCACTCCCTTTCACACACTCCTAAGATGCTCTGCAGTACCAATAACCAGTGGATGCTTATAGGTGAATGATATGAACTGTTTTAGAAAGTGAAGTTTGAAGGTGGAAGAAACTAATTAGCAGCCAGTGGTACAGGCAGATAAGGGAGGGGGGTCCGTCTTAGTTCAGCAGCGGTGAATGCTGGAAGAACAGATCTAGGAAGAAACAGACCTAACTGATATTTTTAAAAGTGGCACTAAAAGGAAGCTTCAAAAGTTGATCTGAGGCATATACTTTGAGCAACCAGCTCTACTATGATACTATTCCCTAATATATAGAAACAGAGAAGACGTTTTGCGCAATGAGAGTGGAAAAATGTATAAAATTATATTTGGGGCATGTAAATTTTAAATTACCAGTGGAATCTGTCAGAACTGTCTTGTAGCTAACTGACTGTAGTAGCCAGAGGCTCAGCACAGACATGGAAGGTAACAACACTGTAATTGTAACTGAAATGAAAGACATAGATTAGGATAATAACAAGCAAGAAGTTGGAGAGAACAAAGAGGCGAAGGCTATACATTTTCCATCTGGAGCCTACAAATATTTATGAGACAGGCAAAGGGAATCAAAAGGGGGAAAAGGTGAGAAAAGCAGGCATTAAAGGGAATGTGAACCAGGGAGCAGTTTGGTCAATGAAGGAAGCAAGGATTTTTAAGGACATGATCAATAGAGTTTATGTATTGTAAGGATTAAAAAGACAACAGCTTTAGAATTAAGATGCTGCTGGTGATATTGACCAGTCTTTTAATTAGACAAATAGGGGTATAATCAGAAAATTTAAAGAGGAAAATGAGCTTCATTTGCTTGTTTCTGAACGGTAAGTACATTTGGAAGTGAAAGGTAAGGAATCTGTTCATTTATTTTATTCCATTTACATCATGAAGCAGAGAATTGGTTTTAGAATGATAACAAACTAAATTAAGAGTCTTCCTCTATGTTATGTTAGGGAAGCTACTTCATCTCTGTAAGTCCCTGATTTCTCACCCACATAGCATGGATGTCAAATGTGCCATATTTATTTCCTTTTAGTCTGTTTCATTTCTGACCTATTTTGGCCCACACATTCTGATGTAGTAAATACCTACCTCAAAGTCTTCCAACCTTTAGATAAAATAATTATATTTGTGCTGTGTACCACAGTTATCTGACAGCATTAATGCTAGGTCTTTTTTTTTTTTATGTCTCCTTTCTGTCCATTCCTGGCTGGTACATAATAATTATTTAGGCTCAAAGATTAATCTATTATATTTTGTTTAATCCTTGAGGTTTTTATATTACTAAATTCAAGATTATACCAATCATTTGCTTCACTCTAACTGAAAAAATATAATTAAAGTAGCCATTTGTGCATGA